TTCCACTGTTAAAACTTGTGCATAGTTCGCGAAGTTCTCCTGTTGTGTTTTTCAGCTCCATTAATTCACTTATATTCCTCTCTAAATTGTGTATTTTTGTTAACATTTCATCAAACCTTTTTTCAAAGTTCTTAGTTTCTTTGCATTGGGTTGGAACAAGTTCTTTTAATTCCCAGAAGTTTCTCATCATCCACCTTTTAAATCCTGCTTCTGTTAATGGAACACACTCATTCTCCATCAGGCCTTGTTCCATTGCTGATGAGGAACTGTGATCCCCTGTAGAGGGAGAGGCATTCTGATTTTGGGTATTCTCAGCCTTTTTAGGCTGTTTTCTTCCCTTCGTTATAAATTTATCCATCTGTGGTATTTATAATTACTATCTTTATAATTGGGTTCCTGAGTGGACATCCAACTTGTTGATTCCCTGCGCTAAAATCTGAGCAACCCACTGCGCTGGCCAAAACAGCGGCGTTAAGATTGATGGTGCTTTTCTGACTCTGCACCAAGAACCACCGCACCAAGGCAGCAGCAAAACCGCCTTGCCATCCACAAGAGTCACGCTGGTGACCCGTGGGGCTCCTCCGCTGGGAATCTCCTGGTGCATGAGCAACAAAAATTCGTCTGAAAGTGTGGTGTCCTCTCGTTCTCTTTGTTTTCACTGGGAGCTACAATCCCGAGCTGCTAGTGATCAGCCATCTTGGATCTCTCTCCTATAATGCTTCCTTGAAGATAGAATGTTTTTCTTTGTGTAATTCTTTTTGTTGTGAATGTTTTGAGAAAAGGGATGTAGTAAAAATTCCTTTACCCCACCATCTTTAACCAGAAGTATCCATTTTATACATATAAAATTTTACATGTATATATATATAATTCATATACAATTATGTTTGTATATATCATACTTTCTAATATATAAGCTGCATAGTAGTTTCCAGTTTTTCTATTTTATAGACATCATTGCTATAAATCTTTGTCCACTTATCTTGTATATTCCTTTATCTGATTATTAGGATATTTTCTGTGCCAAAGGCTAAATGCATGATAAAAACTCCGATGTACACTGCCACACATTATCTCCCAGAAGGCTCTCTATCGGGGTCAAGTTACACAGGGCTGCTGGAACATCACCTAGAAGGTGAAGCCCACAAAGGATGCCTCCCCCCATGTGACCCCTGCAGAGGGGTATTCCTGAGAGAGTACTCAACAATACAATATGCTGTAAAAAAAAAAAATGTATAAATGAGTGATAAACACGATTTTCATTTCTGTAATATTTCTTTGCCTTGACTTGGTATATGGATAAAATGTCATTAGATTTTTACTTTTTTATCCATCCCTTTAAATAAGTATTTATTGGTTTAAATTTTATGCAAGACACTGTAATAGGCACTGGTCCACAGTAAGTGGTCTAAAAATTCATACATTGTTAACTAGCTTTATTCAAAGTGCCTCAAAGATTCTACAGTATAAAGAGATACAAGTATGCAAATAAATGAACAATGTTCACCTATTCAGTCAACAGACATTTATTGAAAATATATATGCCAGGAACGATTCTAAGCCCTGAGGATACACTCATGAACAAAAGCAACAAAACCCCCTGCCCTCGGGAGCTTACATTCTAGTGAGAGAGAAAGATGATAAACATAACATACATCATAAATAGAAAAAAGGTGTTAGACAGTGATCAGCAGGGCTGACCCTGTAAGGATGAGAGAGCCCCAGGGTAATCCAGTTGATTAAACCTCCTACTCAAAATGTTCACACCTGAATGAAGGTGGCACTGCCCTCATCTTTCAAAGGATACATGGGATATCACTAATATCATTAAAAGAAAAAAATTTAAATTGAATTTTAATGATAGAAATGAAGAGCCAGGTATAAGAACTCCCAAATACAGAACACAGGGTGGCTGCAACAGGTCCTTAACCTAAGAAAAGGAGAAAAATAAAATAGGGAAGAAAGATTGAATGTGTTTCTGTTGCGAGGGTAAGTGCAGGAACACTCTAATTTTAGATAGGGAAGCAGGAAAAAGTCTTATTGAGAAGGAAATTTTGTGTAAGGACCTGATGTCAATGAGGAAGCCAGCTATACCGACACCAGAGGCAAGAGCACTACAGGCAGAGGAAAAGCAAACACAAAGGACTTAATACACAGTACACATAGCACTGTGCTGGTCAGGAGTCTGTGGCAGGTGGAGAAAAGGCCACATGAGTGGGAAAGAGGATGCCAATTGAGGACAAATGAGACTTTAAAAAGGTGAGGGACTGGGAGCAGTGGCTCATGCCTATATTCCCAACACATTGGGAGGCTGAGGCGGGAGGATCCTGTGAGCCCAGGGGCTCGAGACTAGCCTGGGCAACATGGCGAAACCCCATCTCTATAAAAATACGAAAAATTAGTCAGGCATAGAGGCATATGTCTGTAGTCCCAGCTACCTGGGAGGCTGAGGTGGGAGGATCACCTGAGCCTGGGAGGTTGAGGCTGCTATGAGTCGTGTTTGTACCACTGTGCTCTAGCCTGGGCAACAGTGACACCCTCTCTCAGAAACAAACAAAGGTGATGGAGTAGTTCAGCAGTAAAAAACAAAACAAAGCAAAAAGGTAAAGCTACATGTCATATTCATTGCCTGAAATTTGGAGTCGTTTAAGGGGACAAGGAGTTTTTTAAAGCCTAGAAAAATGAAAGTTAAAGCATGCTGTTTTCAAATACTATATATGAAGTGGATATTCCACATTCTTCACTTGTTTCCTGCATCCACAGAAGGCAGAGAAAAAAGAATTAAAGATAACTCACCAGGACTGTGCCAAAGAAATCAATCAGATAACCTCTGGAGATCCCTTCTAACAAT